GGGAAGAGGAGGTAAACAGGAGAGCTGGAGTTCAAGCTTCAAAGGCACAGCCCTTCTTGTGACTGCAGAGTCCAGGGTGGGGCTATCAAAGTGGCTGTTGAAGTGGAGTGGAAGTGGAGGTCACTGGGACAGAGACTGCAAGGGAAATGCGATCCAATACATTGGATGGGTGGCCTTTGTGCTGCCCAGGCGAAGTCAGGCACCAGGTGGAATGGGAGGGAAACCATGAGTCAGGCTCCAAAGTCCTTCCACAGATGGTCTGATTAAGGCAGGGAGGTGCCTTCATCCTATGGTCAGCCCTGAAGGGCAGAGGAAGGGGAATTGGATGACGGAAAATTTACACAGGACCAACACTAACTCAAGCAGCACAACGAACCTGCCGAGGACCCTGATCTCTGTGGTCATGGTCAGGAGAACAAAAGGCCTCTGGGAGGGTTCAAAATGAAGAGATAGAAGAATTTTCCAGAAATTGGTTATGCCTACAAAGAAATATTTTAATGGAAACGGCTTTCCAGAGAGCCCCATAGAAGAGTGTAGAAGGTGTCTCTCCAGTGTAAGTTCCAGTGGTCAAGTGACATGGTTCCTTCCAGTTTGGTTTCAGAATTTGTTATAACCCTTCTCCAGAAATTTCTACCTGTCTTGTTGCTATGATTCTCAGCTATGGTGGGTTCATTCCAGTTAAGAGATTAATCTGGAATGTATTCTGATTCTTAAAAGCATAGGACTCAAAACCGTTCATATGAGGTGACCCACCTTCATGCAATCTTTTATTCTGTGGAAAATTGGTTCTTGACTTCTTTTTGTGGACTGTTAATATAATAAAGGCCTCTCTTAGAGACTACAGTTAAAAAGAACGCTTATCTTAAAAAAAAAAAAAAACACTGTAGGATAAAGTCCTTTATGAACAAAGTTTCAAAATTAGATAGCACTTGCAATCTCCTTTGAGTCTCACAGGCCAGGGCTAAGTGCCAGGATCCTCCTTTCCCTCCTTCCTCATTGAGCAGAGAGGAGCTGCACTACTGCCAGCGGAATCTCTTTGATTTTTCTAATAGCTTCCAACATGCGTGAGGTAAATTTTGCTTGGTTGAATGCAATTTACTGCTAATATGCTGGTATTTTACTTATATTTTTTAGTTAGGTTTTTTTTTTTTCTCGAACTAAGTTCACAAACAGGAGTAGTTTAGGTTTTGTGCATGTGTTGCATTTATTGAGGTTTTGGTAGCGTATCAAAAACACTAATGACCAGCCTGCTCCTCACTTCCATCCCCAGCTTATTAGAAATGCAGAATCCTGGGTCCCACCCTGGCCACTGGAACCAACACCTGCATTTCAACAAGATCCCTGGCAATGCACAGGCGCATTACAATTTGAAAGGCTGCCCTGGTCTTATCATTCCTGAAAACTGCCTCTTCCACAATCCCAGTCAAGCCACCTGCTCTCCACTCCACCGTCTTCCCTCCAGTTCATCCCCTGCGGGGCTGATTCCAACAGCCCTGGGCTCACTGTTGCCCTCCATCCATCCTCCACTTTGGCACCACCTCTCTCTTCCCACTGCTCGCACCCCTCCTCACTCGCTCCTCCACAGGCTTGGGGTCAACAGTTCACCATATTACTATTTCATTTATGCTCTTTTACCTTCCTTCTTCCCACTCCCTCCATAAAATTATCCAGCAAAAATAATCCTGGTAGAATCCATTTTCCCACCTTCCTATGCCTATATCTTCCCAGCAAAATATGGCTGGTTAAAAAAAAAAAATCATAGGATACCCCCACTGACTGTGCCTTCACACCTTCTCTCCCCTCAAACTTCCAACACCTGCTCTCCTTCCATGCTCTGAGCGATGATTCGGCTTCCTGTTTCACTGAGAAATCAGAAACCCTGAGAAGGGCCGGGCCTGTATGATCCGGTACCTTATCTACCTAGCTCCCTGCCTTTGTGCCCACTTTCTGCCCTACCGCCTAGTCCTGTGAGTGAACACCTCCTTGCTCATGTCCAAGATGTCTAAGGCCAGACCCTCCACTGAGTTCTTCACCCTTCCCTTCTTTATCCCTCGGGGACAGCACTCCAGAACCCAGCATCTCCACCTCATCAGCATTTAAAGATGCTGTCATGGTCCCGTCCTGAACAGAGCCAAAGGAAATCAAGAACAAAATGTGCTTTGTCTTCATATTCCCCTCCAGCTGCCACCTCATTTCTCTGCTAAGTAGAATCAAAATTTGATGAAAAATTTGTCTTGGCTCATGGTCTCTCTAGAACCCTCTCTTTCTAGAAATCGTTCTAGGTCTCAGTCTTTGTAGACACCTCTCCAATGAGGCTTTCCCACTCAGCTCTCCAGTAAAACAGTTCTTAACGAAGTACTGGTTACCTCCATGGCACTGGGAACCGTGAGCCATCACTAACACCAACCTTACTCAAACTATTAGCCTCACTTGCCCCCTCCCTAAAAAGTGTGCCCTCTTCTTCCAATAGATGGTCCTCTTGGGTCCCCCACTGCAACTCTGGCTCTTCCTCAGGATCCTTTGCTAGTTCCTTTTCATTATTTTACCCCTTGATGTCGGGGGTCTAGGTCAGTCTTTGACCTTGCCCTCTGTTAACACTAGTTTCCTAAACCATCTCATGGAGTCCTGAGGTTTAACTTACTCTGAGGACTCCCAAAATTACATCTCCAGCCTGGGCCTCTCCCCAGAACTCCAGACTTCTAGATCCAAATTCCTCCTTGCCCATCAGGTAACTTAATACGCCTCCAAACGAACCTTGCTTTCCTCCCTTCTGCTCTGCCGCAGTCTGGCTGGGCACAAATAACAGAGCAGCCACAAAGCCTTGTAGGTTCAAACAGCAACTCTTTATTCCCGAACTCCCACCGGCACCCTACACACACTTCCCGGGAATGCACTCCCTCCACCAGGCTCCCCGCGCCAATTCTCCCGGAACCCCGCGGAACTCAACGGGAACTCCAAAGTAGCAGGCGCCCAGGGCAGCAGGAGCCGCCCTAATCCCAGAGCAGGGTCACCTTTCAACCATTCCCTCTAGCAAAATGCCAGGCATCATTCTGACTAAACTGTGGCTCTCGACACTGCTCCGTCTGTAGGGAAGTCTTCCCCATATCACCAAATTGTCTTACTTGAGAAAAATAAAAATAAGCAAAATCCTGGCAGGTCTCCCTCTGAAGTATGTCTAGAACCCACCACTTCTTCATTTCTTTACCTCACCACTGCTACCACTCTGGGCACTCTTCTAGGTGATGGGTCTGTGAGCTAAAGAGTCGGGCTTTTAAGAGAAACAGTAAACAAAGCGACACGGAGACTGTTGGGCAGTGTGAATTGCTAGGGAGAAAAGCAGCCCTGGGTGGGGAGGGAGACATCCCTGTCTTCCCTCTCCCTCTCCCTTTTTCCTTCTCTTTCCTCCTGGTCCTAGGAATCCTCCTGCCTGCCTGGCACGTGCTCTACTCCTGAGCTATGCCCCCTCCCCCTCCCCTCCCCTCCCCCACCAGCTAGCCATCTAGATTATTTCAGTGTCCTCTAACCGGTGTCCCTGCTGAAACCCTCAGGCCTTTCAGTCTTGTCTTCACACCACAGTGACCCTTCTAAAATGTCATACCAAGTCCCTCCACATGGCTTCCTGTCTCCTGTAAATACCACAGTCCCCACTTGGCTCAACAGGCCCCACTCTCTCCCCCTCTCCTAACTTCCTGCCATCCCTTGGCTCAGCAGCACATCCCCTCCTCAGGCCCTGGGTCCTCCTGCTCCGCCTCTCCAAAGCTCAGGGGCCTTCAGGCCCTTGCTGTCTTTATGGAGCTAGCTCACGACTGCAGCCCCTCCTCACCCAGGGCTGTTCCTCTCCAGCAATTCACACTGTTCAATGGTCTCCGTGTCGCTTTGTTTACTGTTTCTCTTAAAAGCCGGGACTCTAGCTCACAGACCCACCACGTAGAATAGTGCCCAGTACACATCAGGCACTCTGATTACAAGTTAATCACTTTGATTACACTTTGATTACAAGTTAAAAATACAGAAACAAATACACATAAATCTTTTTTTTTTTAAACTACCAGACTCTGTCATCAGACTTTTGTAAAACAGTATCCTATTTATCGGCGTGAACCTATGGCAGGTACTACTGTTATCACACTTTTGTCTTTCTTTTCTTTTTTTTTTTCTTTACCATGAGGAAACAGCCATTCCCAGCGGCTAAGGAGGCTGAGCCACGAGGATCACAAGTTCGAGGCCAGCCTCAGAAACTTAGCGAGATCCTAAAATATAAAAAGGGTTGAGATGTAGTTCAGTGGTAAAACATCCCTAGGTTCGTGGTGGAACTGGGTTTAAATCCAGGATGAATCCTACATCCTACCACTTTCTATACTGTTAGGGATGCTAAAATGAAGTCATCCGTTTCTTACAAGCAAAAAAGAAGCTGTGCACTAAGTCTGCTCCAGGCCTTTCGCAGAATTGAAGCTTTAAGAGTCGAGGAAGTGCCGCTGAAGGTAGGCGTGTATTCCTCCAGGAAGAGTGCTAAAACACTGAGCAGGAGCTGAGCACCAGCCAGTAAGGGGCAGAAGGAAGAGGAACTCGCTCTGGGCTTCTGCTTTTCTCTGCACCCCCTCAACTCCAGTCTCGCGCGATGTGGGTGTTCTGAGTCCGCCCGATCGCCCGGGGGCGCCAGAGGCAGAAGGGGGCGTTGCGGCGCTACCCGACGTCGCGCCCTCGGCGGCTGCGCCGTGCGCACGTCAAAGCCGGGCTCTGGCCGGGAGCGGGGCGCGGGGCGCCGGGAGCGGCGCGGTCTGAGAGACTGAGCTTTCAGGAGCTGGGCGGAGGCGAAGGCAAAGGCGGCGTCGATCCCCTCAGCCGCAGCCGCATCCCGAGCGAGCGCAGCAGCGCGGCGGCCACCGCGAGAACCTCTGGGCCGCCGTCCGCCCGCGCAGTCGCCGCCGCCGCCGCGGGAGCCCGTCGCCGGGAGTAGCAGCGGGCGGAAGACAACGGAGGGGCCGAGCGCCCGAGCCGCGCCGCGGGGACCGAGCGAGCAGCGCGAGGCGGCGGCGGCGGCGGCCGAGGACGGGGACGGCGACGACGCGGAGGCGGAGAGGGAGCCACCCGGCCCGGCCGAGCCCCGTGAGTGACCCCCGGGCAGGCCCTTCTCGGCGCTGACGCCGGGCCCGGCCGCAGCCCCGGCCGCCTCCATTTTCTGGGGTGGCGGCAGCGGCAGGAGCGGCTGGGCCCGGCCCTTCTCGGAGCCTTCCCGCTGCCCTCGCCGGCGCAGGGCACCCGGAGCCTCGGCCGGGCTCCGGGAGCCGCGGGTCCGCTGCCGTCACCTCGGCCGCCCTCCTGCGGGCTGGCGGCGTGGGGCGACCGCGGCCAGTGTCGGGAGGGCAGGGAAGTGCGGACCGGGCCAACTGTCACTCCCACTGCTCCCGGCTCCGGCACCGCTGTCGGGCCCCGCGCAGGTTCCTGTTCCCGGGGGCAGATGGCATCTTTGTGGCCGTCATTTCGGGAAAATGTCTAACTGATTTCTGGTTAGGAATTGTGCGGTCGGCGCGTTCCTGAGTTCGGTTGAAGCCACCCGAGCGCTGGCTGCGAGCGGGCCCCGTAGTCGGTCCCAGCCGGAGGGACTCGGAGGTGAACCGGGTCCCGCGCCGCCTCCCCCGAGGAGCTTACGCTCTGGTGTGGGAGATAAGAGCAGTCCACAAATAACCACGATACCAGGAAGGAGGCGATAAGTCCTGTGAAAGGACCAGACACGGGGCTAGAAAGGTGCCCGGGGGAAGACCGCACCGGCCGATCGCTTCCGCCTTAGCATAAATTAGGAGGGCTTCCTGGGCGAGGCGGCGCCCAACACGGTCCTGAAGGCCTGGGAGGGATTTGGAGGCGGTTGGGGAGGGTTGCCGAAGAGATGTATGTCCAGGGCCAGCAAAGCTAGAGGACAAAGGTACAAAGGCGTAGTTTTAGAAATCGTAGATAATTCGAGTTTGTTGTGTTGAGGTGGGGTGGGGTGGGGTGGGGTGGGGCGGGCTAAAGAGGTATTTGGGGGCCAGATCCTTGAATGCTGTGGAGTTGCTGTTAGAGCGACGTTCTAAGGGAAACTTAGAGCTCATTTCTCAGTGACTCATGAGCCCGGAAATGTAGGCTAGGGCATATTAAAGGCGCTCTTGTGAAAGAAAGGAGTGGAGGAGGCCCAGGCAGGAGTTGACATTCTGTCCATTGAATATAATGCAATTTGAGATCGATTTTTGACAGCTTCCCGGATGGATATTTAAGTAAATCCGCATCCAGGCCAAGCACAGTACCTCTTACAGAAAATGTTCACTAGATGTTAGTCTCTTAAGAGGTAAGGGAAAGATGTCTGTTAAAATAAGCTCATCTGCACAATAGGTGATTTTGTTGTCGAGTTCCCTAAAATGCATCAAAACTCCTTGCACTGTATAATAGGTGTCTACAGTGAGCTAAACCTGAATTGCTTCTTTAAGAGGGCATTTGTGAAAAGTCAGTGTTACCAATGTTGTGGGATTGAAAGTTAAACATAGACCTTTTTCTAGAAAGGTAAAAATTTCTGTTTTTAGTTATGAAAAAACTTTATAGGAGAGCCAGAGTGAATTTTTTTAGCTCTGTTTTGTGGGTGTTGGTTTTTTTTGGGGGGGGGGTAATTACTGGTAAATAATAGCTGTCTTTGAAGTCTGCAATATAGAAGTAGCTTCTAGGTTTTGTAAGCACTTATTTGTGTGTGTGAAAAACAAATGCCAACTTTTTCAGTTTTAAAAATTTGTTTATCAAAGTAAAGCATGATCTTTGTAAAAAATTTGTGAAATGCAGAAATACTTAATTTTAAAAAAATCTTCTTAATTTTACCACTTAAATCTGGCTACTGTTAACATTTTTGCTTATTTTCTTTCCAGTCTTTTTCTTTGTTTATTAACATCTTTGTTTATTAACATCTCTTTAAATTTTGGATCCTATTGCTTACTGAATAAACTTTATTTGGTGGGAGGCATGTGATTATGAATTATGGAAGAGATTGTGCAGGTCTTTGCCATATGAGCAGATGTACTTCTAGAAGGGTACTATGGAAAGATGACTCTCAAGGCTGGTACACTGTCTCCCATACACTGTGGTGCAGTGACTCTTTTCATCTCCACTTACCCCTCTGAAACAGTCTCTATAGGTTAACACTTTTTGATAATGACACCACAAAGACCGGACTAGATGCATTTTTTTCTATTGGCATTTCTTTAATAAAATGCCTATTTTATTAAAGAATTTGTTATGAAATGAATTTCTATAGTTACACAGCTTTTTTTTTTTTTTTTTTTTTTTTTTTTTTTTTAAGGCCAGCTCACTTAGGTTCTTTAGCATTTTAGACTGCAGGTCCTTGTATTAAAACAGTTTTATTATATCTTTTTTTATAGCATTACTTTGGAGTATTTACTAAAGGTTATTCTTTCAATTAACTTTTGTGAGATTATAGATTTATGTAGTTACTTCCATACTTTCCCAAGAGCCTTTTTTCCAGATTGATCACTGACAATTAATTCACAACTTTTTATCGGCCATAAAAAGGCATACACACTTCCAACTACACTCCTCCGTCACGAAAAAATAAAATCCAATCATAGGACAGAACTTCAATGTTAGGTAGTGTCTTTTGATACCTTTGTTGGTGTTTCTTTTTTCACTCTATTTTTAAAATCCATTTGCCTCTTTTCCATGGCTCATGTTAATTAGGAGTTTGATTTTAAGGCTGTCCTTGGGTGTTATACATAGAGGAATGTGATCACTTGATTAGTATGGGTAATGACAAAAATTTTGGTTGGTAAAACTTTGGTTTTTACAAACAAAAAGTGAAATGTATAAAATGTGATAAAATTGAAGGGAAGTAGACAAAATCTGTGAAACTCTGGGCTAAATTGCTTGTGACTTCCATTGTTATTTAATTATTGAGGAGTAAAGATCTTGAATCTGTATGAATGCAGATCAAGCCAAATAGCCTAAGAATTGCACAAGGATGTAGTCATCAGTCTCTTTTGACTTTGATCAAGAGAAGACTGGTAGTGGAATCTTCTTTAAAGAAGGGATTGGACTGTGTGAGCTTTCTTATTTTGTGTGTGCTTATGGAACTGGACCCCAGCCATTTACCTGTCTGGAATATGAGGCGAGAGGAAAAATGGGTGAATATTCTCTCCACTATCATTTGTAGAGTAGATTAGTTTGGGAATAAAATGATAGATGTTTTGCTTCTGTTTCTCAGGCCCTCCAAGGATTGTGAGAGGAATTATTGTGGTACTGGGTAGCAGAACAGAGGTTGCAAGTTAACAACTTGTCACCATCAGCATTTTATTGTGTGTGTGTGTGTGTGTGCAGTCCTCCATTGTGCCATTTCTGTCTCTCAGAGCTTCATAGTCTGATTGTGCTTTTAACTTTTCTCTTGAAATGAAAGGGATGAGGGGAGGACAGAATTGTGGTTTATAGCAGCTGTGAAGTTAAGCTAGCAGAGAAAGGGAGAATGGCATGCAGAGAATTAGAAAAGGTCAGTCAGGTGTGAAGTGGCCCCAGAGAAGGGAGGTAAAGCTTGCCCTGGCCATTTATGTTGATCATGTCTGCCACATACCTATTTATATAATCCTGACTAGATTGTGACTGGCTTCAGATTTTGGTACAGAGATTCTACATGGTGTTTTAACTTGTAGTTTTATATTTTCTTGTTTTTGTGTATGTAAGCATTTTCAAATACATGTTAGAAAGGCAGAAAGCCTAGTGTATGTGGTGGCAGTCTCCTTGGGAGCATTATCCATCAGATAAATTGTTGAGGACCAGGAAATAAGATAATGTTAAAACATCACAATACTTTGATGAATTTTGATGAAATGTTTGTTTGAGAAACAAAAAATAAATTTTGAGAAACAAAAAATAGCTTGATCTTAATTAAGTTGATACTTTATAATGTTTTCTAATGAACTATAGCTTGCTCTTTTACAGGTACTGTTAACATATTGGTCCCTATTCTCTCCCTCCACAGATTACACATCAGCTGTAATTAGGCACACAGAAGAAATAGCATGAACAGGTTTTTGTTCATATATCTATAAGGCCCACTCTTGGATTCATAGAATTTGGAGGTACAGTATTAACTCTGGTGTTGAAACCATAGGTGCAGGCTGGTTCACTGGATTTGAACCCTCACCCCTCCTTCTGAGTTCTACAATGTTAGACAAATTCCTTAACATCTCTCTAATAATTTCCTTGGATGAGAAAAATAATAGACCACATCTAAAAGAGTTGTAAGAAGATTAAATGAGTTGCTACATCTAATGTACTTAGAGCAGGGTCTGGCATATATCAAATGCCCAGACATCTAAAGTTTTGTGATGGTAATAATGGACTGTTCCAGGTGGAAGAAACTTTAGTACCTCAGAAACTAACTGGAATGGTTCTTTCTTCAGGTGGGAATACTGAGACCCACTGTAAATAGAACAATGTTCAATTAATTTTGCAGAAGTTTTTACAAAGTGAAGTCACTTGCCACAGGACTGGATCTTGAGCCAGATCTACTTTTCATGCAGTTTGCATGAAAGAAATTTTTATTCTTTGTGCAATAATGTCTTCAAACGTTTCCATTCACATGTACAAAGATTGTATTTACAATATGTTAAATGCTCTTTGGCACATGATTTTTTTAATGGTTTAATACACTGATACTCATATTTGTGATGTAGTTGGCAAGTTTTAGGGGCAGCTGTATGAGGTTAAGAGTTGAAATGGACAAAGGATCAAGGAGATGAAAAAAAATCCTAGGTAAATTGTATTCTGCCCAGCATCGTTACAGATGGGAAACCAAAGTGTGGGACCTTCCACAAATATTGTATCGTTGAGCTAGGATTGGAACTCAGATCTCCCTCATTTCAAAATGTGTGCTCCCTGCAATAGGGCGTGACTTTCTTATCTGAAATAGTTTTATTTTCCTTCATAGGGTCTTGGTTTCTTGCTGAGCATTTTTGATTTAGCATGAGGGTTATAAATAGACTCTATTGAGGATTTTAATAGGTTCCCAAACAGTACCCACACATTATAATCCTAAACGAGATGGTGTATTTTAAATGTTTTAGAGTCATAATTTGATTAGT